TGGACCTCATCACCGAGGCCATTGAGCAGGCTGGCTACACTGGCCAGATCAAGATTGCCATGGATGTTGCCTCCAGCGAGTTCTACAAGGTCGATGCCAAGAAGTACGATCTTGACTTCAAGAACCCTGAGAGCGACCCGACCAAGTGGCTCACCTACGAGCAGCTTGCCGACCTCTACAAGTCCCTCGCTGCCAAGTACCCCATTGTCTCCATCGAGGACCCCTTCGCTGAGGACGACTGGGAAGCCTGGAGCTACTTCTACAAGACCTCCGACTTCCAGATTGTCGGTGATGACTTGACTGTCACCAACCCTCTGCGCATTAAGAAGGCCATTGAGCTCAAGTCCTGCAACGCCCTTCTCCTGAAGGTCAACCAGATCGGTACCTTGACCGAGTCTATCCAGGCAGCCAAGGACTCCTACGCCGACGGCTGGGGTGTCATGGTCTCCCACCGTTCCGGTGAGACCGAGGACGTCACCATTGCTGACATCGCCGTTGGCCTCCGGGCCGGTCAGATCAAGACCGGTGCCCCTGCCCGTTCCGAGCGTCTTGCCAAGCTTAACCAGATCCTCCGTATTGAGGAGGAGCTTGGTGCCAACGCTGTCTACGCTGGCGAGAAGTTCCGCACTGCTGTCAACCTGTAAATGCAGCCTTTCGGCAGCATAGATCGGGCCTGATGAGGGCCCATCGAAAAATGATGGTTTGATGATCTACAGAGCCATCGCCCATGATGATTATGAATTTAATAGGATCTTTTTCAAAGAAAACAAATTTCCACCACTTGATATGTTAAAAATAAGTAAATGGACGACAGAATGTAGATATATGAACAAAGATCATGCTCATCGGGCATCCAATGCCCGAGGTCACGTGCACATGCCACCTGGGGACGATAAGTGTGTCCCACATAAAATTTGCCCTCACCCCTCCATCCTTTGCTGGGTCCGATTGTTGGCTTGTCCCTTTTGGCCTTGCGTGTAGCGCATTGCGTCCTTTCATTTCTTTCCATATCAACGAAGATTTTAGATTGCCCAAAATGCCGCCTTCCAAGTGGGGTATGTTATTATCCTTGTATTATCGCCTTCTGTAGTCATTGCCACAATTACTTAACTCATGTTCTGTTTCATGTCTCCGTTGCTAATTCTTTGATCTCACACAGATGAAGAAGAGGAGGAGAGCTCCGCCCCCCCTATTGTTGCCGCGCCTCGTCGCCGCTTCGACGATGAAGAGGAAGAAGAAGTAAGGCAACACAACCGCGAACCTGTCTAACAGTGCCCTCACTTTCGCGCCCAAGTCCAACAGACTAACAACCCCCGAATGATAGGTTCTTGACTCATGGGATGCCGCCGAAGACTCCGAGGTAGAGCGCGAGAAGGCCAAGAAGGCCGCCGAAGCCGAAGCCAAGGCCAAGGCCGCCGCCGCCGCCAACAAGAAGACCAAAGCCCAGCGGATAGAGGAACTCCGGGAGCAGCGCCGCCGCGAGGAGGGCGACGACGAATCCGAGAGCGAGGACGAGACAAGCCGCCGCGCTCGTCTGCGCAAGACCGAGCAGGAAGCCGATCTTGCCCACGCCGAGGATCTTTTCGGCTCTGTTGATGTCAAGCCCAACAAGGGCGCCCCCAAGGCCATTGTTGTCAGCGACTCAACCGATCCTACTAAGGCTATCGATCTGTCCGCCATGCCGCTGTTCAAGCCCGTCACCAAGGACCAGTTCACCCGCCTGAGCGAGACTCTTGTGCCGCTCCTCACCCTGCACTCCAAGAAGCCGCACTACTCTCTCTGGGCGCAGGACTTCACCCGCAGGCTTGTGAAGGAGTTGCCTAGTGCTGAGATCAAGAAGATTGCTAGTGCTCTCACTACTGCTTCCAACGAGAAGATGCGCGAGGAGCGTGCTTCTGACAAGGGCAACAAGAAGTCCAAGGCGGCAAAGACAAAGATCTCGCTGAATGCTAGCCGCGACAGCCATGTCGATAACACCAATTACGATGATGGTGGTGATCTTGGAGACGATGACTTTATGTGAATGTGAATACGGACGACTAGTCTCCATTTGAAATGTTTCGTGCTTTGCCCTGGATTTGATCCTTGAAAATACATCATAAAAGATTACATCTTTTATTTATTCCTCACCTATATGCAGGTTACTTCTGCTGGGTCCGATGTTCTTCTCTTTTTTTTTTTTCCTCCTATTTTCCCGGACCTCGCTCTGTACATCC